TCTCTCTCTCTCTCTCTCTCTTTCTCTCTCTCTCTCTCCCATTTAAATTTATTTTAACTGATACATAAAGCATAAAATTGTACATATTTGTGGGTTACCATGTTATGTTTCAATACATGTATACATTGAGTAATGCTTAAATCAGGGCAAACATATCTATCTCCTGAAACATTTACCTGTCCTTTATGGTGAAAACATTCAAAATCCTTTAAGCATATCTTCCATATCCATCACCCACAAGCCCTATTTCATGGGAGGGGGTGAGAACTGTTCTTTTGACTCTCAGCCTTCTGACAGTTCTTCCACAATAACTTACTGGGGCCAAGAGGCACATTCCATGAATCACAGTTACCCAGGATGCTAAGTTCTAAGTTAATCCTACCAAGTCCCGGGCATGTCATGCTCATCCTGCCTTTCCCTTTCATTCTATCACCCTTCCGTTCCCTTCACCTCCTCCTTGCATACTTTTTCCTTGTAAAGAACACAAAAGCAAAGTAAAGCATAGCTGGACCAAGGATTGTGCATTCTGTTCCTAAATACAATATTGTGTTTAGCTTTATCTTATCTTAAAACACATTTCCTCATAAAGAAATGCAAAGGGGGTTATTTAAATCAGTGTTTCTCAAATATTCGTAATGCATGTGAATCATGCAGGGAGTGTGGTTAAGTGGAGATTCTGCTTTAGTAGATCTGGGCTGTGGTTTAAGAGTCTAAATTACTAACAAGCTCCCAGTTGATGGTGAGGCTGCTGGTGCTGGGCCCTATACCATATTTTGAGTAAGAAAAGCTTATATGTGACCTTCTTTTTTTTTAATATCTTTAGTTATAGATAGACACAATATTTTTTTATGTGGTGCTAAGAATCGAGCCCAGTGCATCACATGTGCTAGGAAAGCACTGTACTACTGACCCACAACCCCAGCCTTTATATGACCTTCTTAAGAAGTCCTCTTTGCATTTAGGATGAAGTCCAAAGATTTCTTGAGATGGATTCAGATGATATGAATTACTACATAATCCTCTGTTCCCTGATTTTGTGTACTTCTACCTTGTAAAGGGATGATAGGGTTCCAGAGGAATACCAAAATCATTTATGTTTCCCTGAATAAAATTTATTTTATGAATACTGAGAATTAATAAATGGGATGGCATCAAATTAAAAAGTTTCTGCACAGCAAAGGAAACAATTCAGAATGTGAAGAGAGAACCTCAAAATGGGAGAAAATCTTTGCTAGCTACTCTTTGGACAGAGGATTAATATCCAGAGTATATAAAAAACTCAAAAAAAAAATACCACCAAAAGCCCAAATAACCCAATTTTAAAAATGAGCAAATAACTAGATAGACACTTCTCTAAAGAAAAAGTGCAAATGGTGAACAAATCCATGAAAAATTCTTCAACATCATTAGCAACGATAGAAATGCAAATCAAAACTACATCTCCAGTTAGAATGGCAGCCATCAAGAATATAAACAATGATAAATGTTGGAAAATATGTGGAAAAAAGGAATACTTTTACACTGTTGGTAGGGTTGTAAATTAGTGCAACCGCTACAGATATCAGTATGGAGGTTTATCAACATACTAGAAATGGAACCACCATATTATCCAGCTATAGCACTCCTTGGTATTTATTCTAAAGAAAGTTATCATACTATAGTAACACTTGCATACCCATGTTTATAGCAGCATGTTTCACTTCACAACAGCCAAACTATAGAACCAGCCTAGATGTCCATCAATGAATGAATGGATAAAGAAAACATGGTATATATACACAATGAAGTTTTATTCAATCATAAGGAAAAGTGAAATTATATTATTTGCAGAAAAATGGATGGAAATAGAGACCATTATGTTAAGCGACATAAGTCAAACTCAGAAAATCAGGGGTTGTATGTTTTCTCTCATATGTGGAAGCTTGAGAAGAAAAAAGAAAAGAAATATGGGAGGGCTGGGATCTCATGAAAATCTAAGGGAGATCAATAGAATAAAGGGAGAAGGAGAAAAGGAGGAAAAGGGGAAATACTAGAGAATGACATTGGCCAAATTATGTTGTTAAATTATGTGCATCTGTGAATAAGTAACAACAAATCCCACCGTTATGAACAATTACAATGCACCAATAAAAATGTGGGAAAAAATTTTTATCAAAGGGTATTAGCAGCCATCTCTCCAGAGAAAATGTACAAATTGACAATAAGGATGTGAAAAGATGTTCAACATCATTAATCACCAGGGAAATGCAAATCAAAGTCTCCAAGATATACTGCTTAATTCCTAGGAGGATAGTTATAGTCAAAACAACAGATAAGAAATGCTGATGAGGATGTGGGAACAGAGCTCTCACACTGCTGGTTAATATATAAAATTGTGCAGCCTCTTTGAAAAACAATTTGGCAGTTTCTCTGACCTGAAATGTTTAATGGGATTAGAGATTGGGGAGTAATAGCTATATGAAATATATCTTGTTTTATGTGATTAAAATATTCTAAAACAAAAGATACAGTCAGCATGCTATAGCAATACATGCATAACCCAATCAATAAATGGGCAAATGAATTAAGCAGACACTTCCCAAAAGAAGAAATACAAATGGTCAAATATATGAAAACAAATGTTCAACATATTTAGCAGCATAAGGCCAAATTACAGAACTAGCCTAGGTATCTGTCAGTGAATGAATGGATGAAGAAAACCCAGTATGTATATATAATGGAGTTTTATTCAATCATAAAGAAGAATGAAATTATATCATTTGCAGGAAAAATGGATGGAACTTGAGACCATTATGTTAAGCAAAATAAGCAAAACTCGGAAAATCAAGTATGTTTTTCTGACATGTAGAAGCTAGTAAGAAAAAAAGGAAGGGGTGTATGTATAGGTGTGGGGAATCTCATGAAAGAAGGGAGACCAGTAGAAGAAATGGCGGGCAGAAGAGAAGGGGGAGGTACTGGGGAATGAAATAGTCCAAATTATATTGTTACATGAATCTCACTATTATATATAATTATAATGCACCAATTTTAGAAAAGGAATAAAAAGGAACACAGCTACCCACCCAAAAAATTCTTTTTTGATATTGCCGAGTAGCTATGATGTGTGCTCTTTTCTTCCTTATGTCTCTCAGGCTGGTACAATCGTCTATACATTAATTTCACTTTGCGTCGTCACATCTTCTTCTTCCTGCTCCAAACCTATTTCCCTGCCACCCTGATGGTCATGCTGTCCTGGGTGTCCTTCTGGATTGACCGTAGAGCGGTGCCTGCCAGAGTCCCCTTAGGTAAGGAACATCTCAACTGCACATTTTAAGCATCTGAAAATTCAAGTTATTCCAGATAAAATCATTCTTTTCAAATTGGTCCTATACTCCTTTAGGTGCTTGAAAATATTTCAAGGTATTAATTCACAGGCAAAGTTTCATAATTAAGACTCTACATAGCAAGAAGTTTTTTTCAAAAGGTGGCCTAAGGGATCTTTGTGACAGAATCTCTGAGGGAAGTGGTTTAAAATGAACTTTTGAATATTATCTTATTGAAAGAATCTGACTCTCTGAACAAGGACAAGGAACCTGCATTTTTAACAAGCTATCCCAGCTTGTATATTCTCCAGGCTAGAAATCCCCCCTCCATAAGCATTCCATGGATGGCAAGTAAATACTGGACCCATTTAACCACACACACCACCACCACTGTGCAGACAGTGCAGGGGCTGCAAGGGACAGTGTGACCCACCAGGTTTTAGTGAAAATGGATTGGACATGGCCTCTAGGATGACCCCAATCCCCTGTGATTTGATGTTTGCCAAGCAAATGTTCTGAGCTTAATTTGAAATCCTGGGCAAATTTCCACAGACAGATGCCCTGTCCTCTAATTGGTTGTTGGGTAGCTAAAACTGTTATTGTGTTAAACAAATATACATTCCAGCTTTTAAATGTGTCTCCTATAAATGAAGTTAACAACATCATACTTCATAAAATTGACTTCTAGATTCTCAAGTGGGCAGCCAGGTTCAGTGTAGAAGGGGCTGCCAGAGATGCCTAATAGCTGATAAGGCAGGTTCAGGACCATAGGTTTCTACAATAGCAGCAAGGACAAAAATATTAAAATAAATCCCATGCACTTTCATTGCCTAGATTGAGCAGTACTTACAAGAAGCATATGTACATACCTGCTTAAGTAGGCAATTTCTTTTTAATAATTGAATTGAAAGAAATGTCTCAATGCCAAAATGTCTGGGATTCTTTGCAAAAGGATAAAGTGATCCCGGGCTAAGATGAACCTGTAAGGTACACAGAGGAGAGAAAAGGTGGGGATGAGGGAAAGGAAAACTTCCATAAAAGCTAAATCTTGAAAGATGAGTAGGTGTTTGCTAGACAGAGGGTCTGGATGGAGTCCTTGTAGGCTGAGGGAGCAGTAGGGACAAAGAAGCAGAGGCACAGAGCCATCCAGTATTTGGTGGAAGATGAGCCCTGTGCTTCATTCTCAATGTCTGCTTCAGGCATCACGACGGTGCTGACCATGTCCACCATCATCACGGGCGTGAACGCCTCCATGCCCCGCGTGTCCTACATCAAGGCGGTGGACATCTACCTCTGGGTCAGCTTTGTGTTCGTGTTCCTCTCGGTGCTGGAGTATGCAGCGGTCAACTACCTGACCACGGTGCAGGAGCGGAAGGAACGGAAATTGAAGCTGCGAGAGAAGGTGACTTTCCCATGTACATAATGGGGCTGGGTCAGGGTGGAGCCTGGTCTGACTGTGGGTAAGTCAGACTTTCTTTGTAAAATGGAGTTGTGATACCCCTTTCCCCTCCTCCTTCACAAGGTCGTAGTAAAGAACAAACAAATTGATGTGCATCATAACAGTGTAACATTTACTCAACTACATCTTTCATTCACTGAAACTTTTCTTTAGCAGCTACCATTCACCATGGGCCACTAAGCCAACTTAACTAAATCATGGTTTCTTTAATCTTGCTGCTGCTCAGAGTTTAATGAGAGAATCCCAGGAGAAAAATAAATGGCAATTTAACACCGTGGAACAAATTATTAACGCAGAGGAGGAATAAAAGAACACACCAGGGATGAAGCTCCTCCATTCTGGGAAATTTTCCTTCACATATGACCTCATACATGTCCCATACCCCTTCCCAGGTTATCTTTCCTCCAAGTCTGGCTTTCCTTTCCTCATCCAGTCTGCAAATTGATAGTTATCTCCTCCAGAAAAATCTTACCACACAGTACTAACCTATTTCCACAACCTATTTGCCACATCTTTCCAATTCCTACCTCCACCACTCACGTGCGTGCACACGCACATAATAATGTGATTTTGTAAACACTTTCAACCACAGGCTCAGTATGTTTATAATCTCACAGAGAACAGGGTGATTTTTCTAATCGTGAACCTTCTTGATAGTCTGTTGCATGACACAGCACTGTTTCCTAAGCGTCAATTTGTAGACTTTGATTCAACAAAAATGAATACCTGCTCTTTTAGGCTGTTGATAGTGAAAACACTGCCGTTTTCCCACCTTTTCCCCAAACTGGGAATAAAAGAAACTGGAGAAATGCAACATCATCATGCAGTTGCATCGGTAGGGCTTCCTTCCGAGCGATGACACTGAGCTCAAAAGCCAGTGAGTGTTTGCTATGTTTGCAGCTCCCCTGCGCCTGTGGGTTACCGCAGTCACGGGCTGTGATGTTGGATGGCAGCTACAGTGATGGCGAAGTGAACGACCTGGGCAACTACATGCCAGAGAATGGAGAGAAGCCCGACAGGATGATGGTGCAGCTGACCCTGGCCTCAGAGAGGAGCTCTCCCCAGAGGAAAAGTCCAAGAAGCAGCTACGTGAGCATGAAGATCAACACCCATGCTATTGATAAATATTCCAGGATCATTTTTCCAGCAGCATATATTTTATTCAATTTAATATACTGGTCTATTTTCTCATAGATGCCTGTAATTCTATAAATTTCACATTTTTTTTTCATGGTATGTACTACAGAAATACCTGTATGATGAAAAAAAATTTAAGATTTTGTTTTTTAAAAAAATTCCCAGTACCATCTTCACTATTCCTTCTCCAGCTTTCCAAAATTTCATTGGCAAGATAGTTTTTGCATTTATTAAGCATCTATTGTATACAAAGCATCATATTAGGTGCTACAGCAACTAATGTTATTTGTTACCCTGGTCTCCCTGAAAAGCACAGTACCAGTGTGGTGGACACTGTAGTTCAACATCTTTTAGATCCCAGATGCTTGTTCACCTGAATGCTTTCCTTGGAATGAATGTCATTATATTCTTTGGGCTAGTTGGAATTGGAAAACACTTACAGTTCACTTGCATGGAACCCACATGCACCTAAATCCCTACTTCAACAGAAACTCATGCTTCAGTTTATAGTCTATTACCTATTTCTTATGCATCTCCTTGTATTTAATAAAAGGCAATAATATTCAATGTTCAGTTTATTTACAAGTTGCACTTCATAAGACTTTGCCTCTTCACAAGCTCTTTAGATTGGAGCAATAGCTTAATAGCTTCTGATGGAAACATCTCTGATAGGAAAATTTTGAAGATGAGGATGTATGCATGCCTTTTGTCTATTTTGTCATAGAGATAACTAGGCTAGAAAACTTGTATTTAAGTGTTCACTTGTATTTAATTGTTCCCTTTACATAATCATTGTTTCAAGCCTTGGGGCAGGTTTTCAGTCAAAACGAAGGACTGCTCAGTAACATGGTATCTTCACTGAGGAACTTGGGAAGAGACTAAATAAACAGCATTTAAAGAAAATGCAAAATTCAGGATTACATATAACTCATGAGAATGAGAAGTACTCACCTGGTTTCTTAAAGAGAAAAGAACACCAAAAATCAAAAGAAGTGGGAAGACATCCCTGAATGTTTACACTTACATTCAGTGAATATCAGCATTTTCTTTTTTTGTTTTTAGTCCTAGGGATTGAACCCAGAGGTGTTCTACCACTGAGCTATATCCCAGCCTTTAAAATTTTTATTTTGGTACAGAGTCTCACTGATTTGCCCAGGATGGACTCAAACTTGTGATCCTCCTGCCTCAGCCTCCTGAGTAGTTGGGATTATGGTATGTACCACCACGCCCAGCTAGGATACCAGCATTTTCTAAGAACCACAAAACAACTGTCATTTAGATTTTAGGTTAGGCAGCCTCTGTACCCGGCAGAAGGATACCCAGTAGAAACTGATGTCAGGACATAGGATAAAGGAGAGGGTTCATTTTATGTTTTATTCAAAAGGCATTCTTTACGCTATGTATCTATAAACTGTATAGATCAACTCTAACCAAAACCACCCAAACAATAATTGTCGTATTTGAAACTCACTTTAAAAAGTGATTCTTTCCTTTGTCATTTTCATTTCCAAATTAATTTGACCGATTGACACTAAATAGCATCATGGTTATTTTTTTTTTCTCCCCGTAGGCCTATACTTCATTCTAACTTGAAAAAAAAATCTATTTGCACATATCCTAATTATAAGAAAATCTCTATTCCCCTCAATAAAAGTTCATCAGAAGATTTTTGGCAAACTCAAATGGTAAACTTAAATCTAGATGAAACTGTTAAATGTTAACTTTGGGGGCTAGAAGTGTAGCTCCGTGATGGTATGCCTGCTTACGATAAGCAAGGCCCTAGGTTCTGGGTTCCATCCCCAGCACCAGGAAAAAAAAAAAGTTAACATTTGATATGTAACAATATTATTTTTAAAACACTGCTTTTTCTACTTTTATTTTATGAAATAATTTCAGTCAAATCCTTCACAAACATCTTTGCCACCGTCTTCTTCCTCATCAGGAGGGCCACCAAATCATCTAGAAGTTTTCCAGGGCAGATCATCTGACTTTCCACGTACCTTGTTCGGGATACTCCACGTTTAAACCAGCATATAGAATGATTTCTTAGTCTGCTAAAACTGCCATAACAAAATTCTACAAACTGGATGACTTAGAGAAATTTTTTTTTTCACAGTTCTAGAGGCTGAAGTCCAAGATCAAGGCGTCAACAGATCTGTTTTCTTCAAAGGCCTTTCTTCCTGGCTTGCAAATGGCTACCTCCTTGTGAAGTCTGCTCGTGGTCTTTCCTCTGTACCTGCATGTGTCCTGATTTCCTTTTCTCTAGTCACATTAGATTAGGGCCCACCTTTAAAGTCCCTGTTTCCAGACACATTAGAGGTTAGGGCTTCAACATATAACTTTTGGGAGCTGGAGGACAAAATAACATGCTCGTGGAAATTATCTGTTTGCTCAGTAATACATCTGACGCTTTTATTTTGTTTGGTTTGGTATCAAGAATTGACTCAGGAGTGCTTTACCACTGAGCCACATCCCCAGCCCTTTTGTTATTTTTTAAATTTTGAGACAGGGTCTCCTTAAGTTGCCACAGGCATCACTATGCTAAGGCTGGCTTTGAACTCATGATCCTCCTGCCTCAGCCTCCTGAGCCACTGGGCATATGCCCAGGCATATGCCACCACACCCAGTCATCTGGTGCTTTTGTGTGTGGGTGAGGGTGTGTGGTACTGAGAACCGAACCCAGGGCCTCACTCCCTCACTCATGTACTAGGCAAGTGTTCTACCACTGAACTACACTCCTAGCCCTCTAATACATCTTATAGATATTTATCCTGACTTTTACAACACAAGTACATACAGTATTATTTTTTAAAAGTTTGTTTACACTGATAGCCATGCTAGC